AGACATTATATACAATAGAAAAGGGGCCATTATCTTTACATTTATTGATTTTTATTAATAACAAAAACTTTTCTTATATTTCCCCTCATATTACATTGGCCAGAATCATATTACATGTTCATGCTTAAACCAACAGTGGCTTAGAACGGGACCACCATGATTGGATTAAAACAGACCAGGAGTTTTCAACCTCAGCCCTATTGACATTTGGGCTGGATGACGCTTTGCTGTGGGAACTGCCCTGTGCATTGTAGGGTGTTTAAAATCATCCCTGGCCTCTGCCCACTAGATGCCAGTAGCACCCTCTCCAGTTGTGTCAATCAAAAATGTCTCTAGATGTTGCCAAATATTGCTGGTTGAAAACCACTGGAATAAACTAATCAAGATTTCCCTCCGACACTAGCTATGGGGCCCACCTCCTCTAAATATACAACAGCGCAGAAAAAAGGGAATATCTGAAGGATATCAGTGTCTTTCAGAAAAGAAGCATATACGAAAGAAAAATAGTCTTGTAAGCAACCAAAGGTATTCAGTACAGTAATTCTTTAATAGGGATAAACAGTAAATGTAAACTATGAAATTAAATCCTGTATTATCTGAAACAAAACAGAGAAAATGAATGAAGAGCTTTAGCAGGACTAAGGACTGCTAGCATATTATTCATTCATCAAACACACAAAATATCAGTCTATATTTAGAGTTATAACATGCAATTTAGTTGACTTGTAGAATATGTCTTTAAGCATGGATTTCCATTGAGGATTTGTATCTACAATATTTATTCTCTAAGGACCCTGACCAACTATTGCATTTGGCTGTGTGAAGTGGAAGATCCTCTTTCAGGGAACATTCCTCTATTAACATTTTTTAAGTCACCAAAAGAAAATGATTCCCTACACAGAGATATCTAGTTCCCCTAGAAACATAATTCATTGCATGGTTTGAGGCTTTCACATCTGCAGCTTATGAATATAATTTAGTTTTTTGCAGATTAAATCATAGCCTTTAAACTCAAATTTATGTCATTATAAACATTATATTTGCCATCTGAAGACTCTTCATTCTCCAATCTCATGATAAGGCCATATCCACACTCTCTTCAGCTCTTTAAATGGAGCCCTCTGTCCCACACATCACCCAAGAGCCCTTTAATTCCCAGACTCACTGCCTATTCCCCTGGTTCTGTGACTCGCTGGCTCTGCTTTCTTCTCCCCATTGTCTGTACTGCTCTCCATTCACGTGATAACTATTTTTGGATCCAAGACAGACTGGCTATGGCGGCCTCCCGACCCTGCACACTCCATTTTGATTTCATCCATAATTTCTAAAACAGGCTCTCCCCAAACTGTATCTGGGGAAAGTGGCCAGTCTTGATCCCTGATCTTCCTCCATGAAAGGAAACACGCTCTGCTTATTCAAGGCATAGAGACATTTTTATGGATAAAAGTAAAATGTTACCCCCACAGTTTACAGGGAAGAGCCTAATTGAAGGACTTGAATCTCCAAACCAAAAGCTACAGTCATGATTCTATTTAATCTTATCTGTCCCACAGGGCAAGAACCTAGGAATAAATCTCATGTATATTCACATTGTGAAAATATCACATGTTTACAAAGTGGTTGTTTATAATACCCTGAAAAAGAGACTTGCGATGCTTAATGAAAAGATTATTATTTTGCAATGGGAAATGTAACTATTCTTAACAGAGCAAGAATCTATAGGTTGCTGACACAACATGAGAGGCTTATAAAAACACGATTTTAAATGTTTGTTACAAAATAAGACTGCTCAACAACAAATTCTGGAGATAGCTATTCCTTTAATCCAAAGAATCTTTTTTTCTAGAAACAAAGTTTTTACAAGTATTTTCCTCTACAGGATTTAGAAAATAAAGGCAGATAATTGTTCTCTACAGAATATTCTTTCTGTTTCATTTATTAGTTTCATAAATACCTGTTCTGAGTAGTATAATAGTCAATATTGTTAAAAATAGAAGGTCAGAAGGACTGATAGAATGACAACATTGTGTTACTGAAAGAAATATATAGGAAGATATATACAGAGATGATAGATGATTGATAGATAATAAATGGATAGGGACATGCTTGAATATAAAGAAAATATTTCTGGAAGGAGGCTTATGAAGTTGATAATTATAGCTTCTATAGGAGACTCATAAACTAGAAAATGGGTGGGAGAGAGATCTATTTTCCACTGTCGACCTTTTTGTACTGTTTATTTTTTTGTATTCTGAGATACTGACAAACTGAAACATAGACAGATGGACACACAAATACACAAAGAAATACACAAATCAGATAGGTAATCCTAACCCTGAATTCAATTTATGACTTATGTGACCAGTTAATCTCAAAAATATGGGTCACTACTCTTGAAAGAATTAATCCCAAGTGTGGAATATTGTGACTTATGAAAGAGTCTTTATTTAATTGGATAAATTTATATTCTGTTCCCAAATGGAATGAAATAGAAAGGACCTACAATTTTGTAGCTTGGAAATTTAATAAAACACTTAAAATAGATGTTTCACCTTATAAAATTTTGAAGACAGGACTCTAAACAGAGACTAAGAACAGTATTTCAGTTAATTTTTAAATAAGATTAAAATTAGAATTGAAACTATCCTGCACTGAAATAAATTTTCTCAAGCTTACCAGGTAGCCAAGCACCTACAGGAAGATTAATTTTTAAAAATTAAATTTCTAACTTAAAATAATATGGTTTACAGAATTGCCAACTGAAGGTGATGACAATTCCAAATATATTTACCATGAGGACAACTTTGAAGGTGATTTCAGGCAAATTTATAAAAGGTAAATATAAGATCCCATTGAAAAAATAAAGACCAATAAATAATACCATAATAATCTTCAGAAAAATACCAGCCACCTGGTATCAGAGATAAGTATGTTTAATAAACTATTAACAAAAATATACAAAGAATAATTTTTAAAATTTTGCCATATGTACATGAATGTACTTTTTTAAATTTTAACTTTTGAGAATAATCTTTAATAGTACTATTTGTGATCTATTATATAAGAAACGCAGTTTTAGCTGACAAATATATTTCAAAATATTGTTTTGAAAATGATATAATTCCAATAGATTATATTACCTCCTTTTATTCTCAAAGTTGTCCTGTTTTAGAGGATATATTACATGGTCACACGAGTGGGAGAGAACAACTGTTGTTGATCAGCTCAGACATTGTAGGACCGTCTTACTACCCCTTAGGTACCGGACTTCTTTCTCATTCTCATCTCCTTATCTATTAAAATAGATAATGTGAGGCGTTTAACAGCAATGTCAGAATATTTTGAGACTTTTCTAGAAACCACTATAAGTCAGGAGCAAGGTGGAAACGTTCCCACCCTCCTTTGTAAGAGGAAAACTTAGGGGTCACAGCCCAGCTCTTCCTTTGCTTGTCAGTTCTGGGTTTAAAATTAAAATTGTAGGTCAAGTTTCTTAACCTTCAGCAGGAAAAATTCTGTTTGAATAGCATGTCCCACGGAAGGTTCCCTTTGAGAATCCTTTACGAGAAAGAAAGCGCAATTTAAACCGATGCATAAATCAGTGGTATAACGCGAGAATACTACAACCTGGGCTACACGGGGTTTCTCTCAGGATCACGAAGAACGTTCAATTAAGAAAACTGTAAATTTACTATGAAATGGGAAAACCCATACATCCATCTTTATAGAACAAAATCCAACACCCTGCATTTAAGAGGCGTAGTACAGGACTATGAAATGTCTCCCTTCTTAACGTGGTAAATCCAACCAGTGCTATGTCTAAAGTTAAAATACTAGAAGCCCAGTCACTTTAAGGTCAGAAGACAACCATCAACCCCTCGTTAGCAGTGCATTTGTTACTATATTGAGTAATTAGACAAAATGAGGGATAGAGAAGGAGGAGGGAGGGAGGGAGGAAAGAAAAAAGGGAGAAAGGAGGGAGGGAGGAAAGAAGAAAAGATTATTGAACGATAGGCTAGATTAGGGAGCAAATGTATTTTGTAACAGGCCAGATAGTAAATATTTTAGGGTCTGCAGGTTATTCAGTCCCCATCACAGTGCTCAGCTTTGCTGTTAGAGATCAAAAGTAACCACAGACAGTTAGTACATAAGGAAATGAACAAGGCTGCACTCCATCCAGGAATCGTTACTTATGGACACTGAAATTTGAATTTCATGTTTCACATGTCACAAAGTATGATTCTTTTCATTTTCCCCGATCATTTAAAATGTAAAAACAGTTTTTAGCTCCTGGGCTGTACAAAAATAGGTGGACTAGATTTGGTAACCTGCCCTAGATCATTTTAACAGTAATTAACTGTGGGACGTGAAATTCAGGGTGTGTGTGTGTGTGTATGCTGGGTGCAGTGCACAAGAAAACTACTGATGAAGGGAGAGAAGAGAATTTTACCTTTTATTTGACACAACTCTATACTTGGAAAATATTTTACCATAATTATGGATTAATCATAATTTAAAAAAAACTATAGCTATTAGAGAAATATAAACAAACTTATCTAATTGCCTGTTTTCCTTTTTTTTTTTTTTTTTGCCATCAACAGCAAATAATTCTCTCTGCTGAGTGTAAAGAGCTTTGATCTTATTCTAAATTGTCTTGGGCTCTGCATCTGTAATTATTTTATAGATTTGAAGACAGTTTTTTTTCTAGGTTTTTATGAAAAGACTGTAAAGAGTAATCAAATTATTAAAATGCTGAATTTTAAAACAACTCTCTCTCTCTCTCTCTCTCTCCCCCCACCCCATCCCCCTCAGGAGAAAAAAGGACCTGGTCTCTTTAGCTGTTAATTGCATTCCTGTAAACAGAGTAACCCTTAGGAATTCCTGTTTGCTTTATATCTAATCTGCAGGCTTCACTGAACTTTCATCAAGAACAATGGTGTACACACAGTTCCTACATTCATACGAGTTCCTTTCTCCCCACTTTATTTTCTGATGTTAAACTCCAGCCAAACATTAAATTACCTTGGGAAGTAAAAGGTAGAAGAGAAAAAAGCCCAAAAATTGTATTTGGCCTCATTTTATAAAGACACTCTATCTTAATTCAGAGAAAGAGAGCAGCATTTTTTATTTTTTATTTTTTTAGCATGAGAAGCATGAGAACTGCAAAGAAACACAGGGTTTTTCAGACAAGCCCATTTTTTAAATTTGCAGGTATGTGACTGTGCTCTTGTCTTGATGCAGGTGGGGCTGTAGGTCAGGAGTGTGTGGGTGTTTGTGCATGTCTATAAATCCACACCCATTTGAAACCAGAAACATCCAGGATATACTTCCAGCAAGAGCACTGGCTAGTTCAGGTAAGCAAGCAAAATTTCCCGATTATTTAATCAGCGGTTAAACTCTTGCTATATTTAAATAATCCGTGTATCGCTATTCAAAAGTGAGGTCTTCAGTAAAGGGTAGGGAACACTCAATGAAACTGGATTTTTTCTTTTAATGAGCTGGGTTTCTTCTGCTGGCTTCATACTTGTATTCTCTACTTATATTAATTTATACAATAAATTATACAATAATAAACTAGTATTAACCAGAAAGCACTTCAAAAATTATGCTATAAGTAACAACTGTTCTTCCCTCTTCTCCTTTAAATGCTGTTATATTTTAAAATAAGGACTATCTTTCTATAATATCTAAGTAAGTGACTTATGTTAAATTATCTTTGAAAAGTTAAACACTACTGTTAGAAAATGTTAACTGGCCAAAGTTTGTAACACCTAACTGTAGATATTTGGTTAAGTGCCTGCTGAGTACATTGTAAGCTGCTCCAGGGCCACTGTTACCATGTCATTCATCGGGGCCCCCTAAGGAGCCTGACTGTGCATCTGGTATTAGAGAACCCTCAACAGTTGGGAGTTCGCTTTCACCAAGGAAAGCATTGCTCATCTAAAACTAACAATATATAAATTGGTCAGCTTTGTCATAGAATATATTTAAGATCTAGTTTGCCATTTATCAAACGATATAAAATAGAAAACTGGTATTTCAATTTTTTTTTTTTTTTTAGCTAGAACAGTCTTTGACGATAATATATAATAACTTTCATTTTAGAGAAAAAAAAGCTTGGTTCCCACTCAACTCTAAACTTGGCAGCTTTAAAATAGGAAAATGGTGAAGTTATACTTTTTCTTTCTTCATGTAGACTCCACCTACTTTATCTCTGTCTCTACCATCAAGAACCTTTTCTGACGCTTCCTCCGGATTTAAGGCCCGGCCCTAAATGGTTGCTTCAGTGTCTCCATTGCAACTTTCAACCTGACGCAGCCTGCCCTGCCTTCACTGCACTTTGTGTTATAGATTCAGCTCGCTGTAGCCCCTACTCAAATCTACCCTTTCTTTGTTTCAGTCCTTAAGGTAAAAGATGGCATTCTGAAATATTTTATGGTATTAATAAATTATAAGAGCTTAAACTGAGGCCCTTATCACATACCATGGTTATTGTTTAACAGGGTTTTTCAATAATTAAACGGAAAGAAATATAAAATGAGTTTATTGCAGGTTAGGACGGGAAATAATTTAAATAGGGCTAGCCTTGAGTGGCAGCCATTTTCAATCCAGAGGGGGACTGAGGGGAAACATCACCAGCAAAGGAAAGATACTAGAATGAGAGGCATTAGGAAGCGTCTGGAGAAGCCTGGAATCTATAAACCTCCAAGTTGCCCTCCTCTGCGGCTACAGCTGCTCTATTCCATGATGAGCCTATTACCAGTGTCAAGCAGGAAGTTATTTTTAAGGAGTGTTTGTCTTATTAATCTTTCAATTTTCCCACAATGCCTAACACAGTTACATATATAGCAATATTCTTATTAGAGAAGAATCACAAAACACTCATTCACTGTCTTGGTGGGGAATTCACTACTAAATAATGTAAGTCAACAGGAAGACTGTTTTGAAGGAATTTTAAATAAACATGAATGATTTGTGTATATTTATCTCATATGTTGAGGTGATTTCAAGACTGCACATGTGAACTATTACATGGGTTTGATATGCTACAAATGATATTGATCAAGTAGTTTAAGACCAGCTCAGGTCCAACTCTAGACTTGGATATCCTAAGATAGTACATTGACTTGAAAATCCATTTGAATCCTAGCTAACCAAGGGAGAACTACAGAGAGCAGGTTTGTTCTTCTTCACACATATATTTATAACAATGTGACAATAAGCTAGATTTTTAAAAGAGCTGGGTTGTAAGCCGAAAGGCAGAAGGCTGAGTAACAAGCGGAAGGATCAGAGAGATAAGTGACTGTAGAGGAACTAAAGAACAAGAATCTCCACATTCCACCTTTTCTCTGAATTCTGTCACAGGCAATATTTGTTCATGCCTAATCGTATTATCTTGGCATAGGGTTAAAATGTTGTTTTAATCTACCAGATGGAGAAGAATTGAAAGAATATTTATGCATGCCAGAAGTCACCGTTGCTTTATACTTTAGAGAGGAAAGACCTTTAACAAACCCGATCTTATTTGAGTCCCACGATAGTGCTTTGCGTACTAGAATGCCCTCAGAAATGAGCTTGGAGTGCCCCGATCCAGTTCTCTTTCAACTTCATTGTGCTGCTTCCAAGATGCCCAGGGTATGGCTTTTCACCAAGTGGACACTTATTGAGTTGGGTGCATTTTTAAATAATTTTAAAATAAAATGCGAATGACATTCTAGGAGGTTGCACTGTGTGAAGTCACACAAGCAGAGCCATCTGTCAGCATAGCTTTTGTCTGACTCTTAACAAATGTCTTAATGGCAGCCTGAAGTAACCTATTAGATTCTGAAACTCATTTTCTGTCGTCTAGGTTCTACGGAGGGGGTCTCGAGGACACATGATGTTACACGCAGCTTCGGCCCTCTGCCTCTTACTTGTCGCAGTTTCTTCTAACCTTGCCATTGCAATCAGAAAAGAAAAGAGGCCTCCTCAGACACTTTCAAGAGGTACTGGAATCTCATTTTACTTTCTAAACTCAGTCATTTGGACTATTTTAAAATTCCTAGTCTCTTACCCATAATCTCCTTATAAAGCAAACTCAATAACTGGCATATTTTGCTGTTTACCACTTTAAAATAGGCAAAACACACCAAAACAACAACAACAACATAACAGAAAAAATCAGTTGATTTTAAAGAGTGAACCAAATCAACTGAAAAACAATAACAATTTGTTATGTCTTTTATAGAAATAGTGGCCAATTGATTTGGTAGCCTATAACTTTGGTAACCAGAGTCCAGGAAAATATTATTGATTGATATGTCATAACAGTG